TGCTATTAGGTTAAAAAATGATCCCACTTTTCCAACCTCATGTACAAAAGTGACTATGGAACAAACTAAACTCAAAATAACCTTAAAACAAACAAACAAATGAAAAAAAAAAAAAAACCTTAAAACTTCAGAGTATCTGTGAAAGATTTGTGACTTGCTAAACAGAAAAATGGTGTCATTTAGGGAGAGGTATAAAGTAAAGAAACCTTGCTTTTTCTTCCCCTTCACTGTTTTGACAATTTGAAGTCTACAAAGATAAAATATTATTTCAAACAGGGGTGGAGGTATAGCTCAGTGATAGAGCACATGCTTAAAATACTATATCAATTCTGGTATAATTATAACTTAGCTTTAAAGAAATGTTACGTCAGCCAGGAATGATGGTACAGGACTATCATCCAAGCAACTTGGGAGGCTAAGGCAGGAGGATCACAAGTTCAAGGCCAGCCTCAGCAATTTAGCCAGGCCCTAAGCAAATTAGTGAGACCCTGTCTCAAAAGATAAAAAGGACTGTGGATGTAGCTCAGTGGTTAAGCCCCTCTGGGTTCAATCCCAGGCTTCTTATTTCCAAGTAAAAAAATTTTTCTATCAAAAAAGTAAAATGGCTGTGTGCAGTAAGTGGCACATGCTTTTAGTTCCAGCAACTTGGGAGCTTGACATACGAGGATCACAAATTCAAAGCCAGCCTCAGCAATTTATTGAGGCCCAAAACAAAATAAAATAATAAAAATAAAAAGGGCTGGATTTGTGGCTCAGTGATAAAGTACCTCTGGGTTCAATCCCTGGTACAAAGAAAACAACAACAACAACAATCTTGCTTTAGAGCATGATATATGATTCTATGTATACATTTATTATATATGTGTTTTAGTACAACAATGAATTATTTATTCCATTTATACTAGGTTCTAATAATTAGAAGTGGCAAAGTAGCAACTCAAGGGATAGATGTGGCTCACAAGATAATTTTCATTGGTTTGGATAGCCTATATTTGTTTAATTGAACTAGATGTCAACACTATGATTCAAGAGTTGTGGATTATTGTAAAGTAGTTTAAAAAGCTGGAAAACTTCATATAAAATTCAGGTCTCTACCTTTTTTTTTTGAAAACCCTGAATATAAAATAACACTGAATCCAAACTGTGGCTCAAGTTAAATAACCATTGTCTGACTTCCAGTGTGCTACTATGTGTAGCCAGCCCCTTACTTACAATCATTTATGATCCCTGCACAGATACTATAGGATCTGAGTTTGTGACCCTAATCTATCATGACTATATAAAAAGTTTGCTCACTAGGAAGACAAAAATCAGAATTTATTTCCTAACATAACAGAGTTGGTCCATCTAGGTATTTACTTTGAATGTCTGAATTTTATAAATGAAATGCATTACTATGCCACAGAATGTTGTTATGTTGTTTTGGTACAGAAAAAAGCTGAGAATCAAAGTCCATCCCTTTTGATTTTCAATATTCCTGAGATTTTCCAATAACTCTTCCAAGTTATCCTCAACAGCACAGAACAATTAACTTCCATTAGCTTTAAGTAATAAAGGAAAAATTAGGAGACTATAATTATACAAGAAGAACAGTTGTTTTACTAACAGAGAATACATTAATATCGAATAATACCATAACTCTTAAATGATATGGTTATAATAAAAATGGGTTTTTTGAGAAACACCAAGCACATTTAAAAATAAAATGTTCCTGGAGTTTTCTTTCTCAACTCTCACTGAAACTACATAGTTTCATTCATGGACACATTTTTTTAGATATGTTACTCTTAGCATTCTACTCTTAGAAAGATGGTATGTTTGTATTCAGTAAAATTATGACTGACAAGGTTGGAAGCCCTGCTTGCTCTGAGGTATACAGTGCTCTTGCTTTTCCTATAACTGCTCTTCCCTCTCTGAAGATGCTTTATCTATCTTTCCACTTCAGATATCAGGTCTTTTGGAGTAATGGTAACCTGTAAACACCTAAGAACTAGCTATTCATGAAACAGCTGCTTTTTGTTGGCAATATCCTAGTATTAAGTTTCTGTTTCATTGAAGGAGAATAGATTGCCAGAGTCATGGGAGGATGCTCCTTGTTTATTCTTAAAGTATCCATTTTACTTGAGGTTACTATTGCTGCCAGCAGGTAGATAAGCAGGATTCAACAGACTCCACCTAGACTGATCTACAGTTCTTTAGCCCATGCTAGATGCCCTGTACCACCTCAAGGGTCTCAGTGCCTCCTACAGGGCCAACTGTCCAGAACGGGCAAAAAGCTGAGTCCTAAAACTCCTTGACAATGCTAAGACCAAATGGGATGGCAAAATCTGAATACTACCTTGGTTCCTCTCTGGTAGGCTACTGTTCTGCCTATTTGTACACTGAAGAGGACCACAGTCGTCCTCCAACAATAGACTCATTGCCTCATAGGAATCCAGATTATGAAACTCAAGAGACTATTAGCTGGCATTTGGCAAGGACATTTCTGAGTCCTGGAGACCAGCCTGAAGCTGCTGCTTTAGCTTCACAGCTGGGTAGGGGAAGGATGATGTCATAATCAATCAGATCCTGATATAGCAATTTAAGCATGTTTTTCCAGAGGCCTTGTTCAACAAATTTCTTTTATTTGATTGAAGTGGTTTCAAAAGTAGATCTGGCATTTGTTGAGAGCATTTCCTTAAAGGGGCATTTGAGGTACAAGCCAGGAAGGACCACTGGTACTACTTTGAAGTCTCATGCAATTCAAATACAGGTTTAATCTCCTGTAACTGCAATCAGGTTAAAATAGACTGTAAAGTCACAGGTCAAGTAGTGCCAATTCTTAATTTGTGAGGCTGCTGATATTTCCAAATTGCCTTGCAGGGAAATGAAAAGCATTCATTTTGATCTAATGGTGGTAAATTCTCTTTCCTGTCGAGAACCATCCGTGGGCTGTATGTGGACTACATCAGCATGGTAGCCAGTGAGGGGTAGATCTGGCATTAGAAACTTCCCTTGGCAGTCCCACCGGGATGGATCCCCCAAATGCAAGTGAACTCCTCCTCAGCTCTGCTAAGAGGTCTCACACAGCACCAGAGATGGGGAGACCTGCTGCAGTCACACAGCCTCTCAGAGATGGATGTAACCTGCCAAGATGCCAATCAATCTGCTGACTGCCAGACACCAGGAAGCAGGACTCCACCCCTGAAACCTTATTCCTGCCTTTAATGTACCCCCTTAAATAAACCACAGGAACCATTTTCTAATTGTCCAGCTCCAACTCAGACAGCTGTGTGGGCTGGGCCTATCAGGTGCTCCAGGCTCCCTTTAAAACTATTTTTTCTGACTCTGTCTTTTGTTCTTCACTAATTATTTCTGACTTATCTTCTCCGGTAGATTACATCCTCCACAGGCAGGAAGAAAGACCCCTTAGGGAGGCACTGGCTGCCTCCCCATACTTTTCAAATGAGCAGGGCTGGGTCTACCAGACTCCAAATTGGTAAATAAATCTCAGCCCATTTCTTTCAGCACTCAAGGAGAAGAAATTAAAAAGCATTTTTGTAATTATAAATTTTAAATTCACAAAAGCTCCATTTAATCAATTATAATTTACACACACACACACACACACAAAATCATAAATAAATGACTGCCAAAAATAGGAGTAAATAGCAAAACTTTTTATTAGTATTTAAATGTGCCAAGCTCTATGTTAAATGCTATATATGCCTAAGCATTATCTCATTTAACCATCAAAATAACCTCTTTAAGCATTGTCTTTATTCTATCACATTCATTAGAAAAGTAGTAGAACCTAAATGTATAACTGCTATGTTAATCTGCCCTTGCCCATCCCAAAACAGTGCACATTAAAAAAAAAAAATGAATGCCAATGGAAAAATACATAAGCAGAAAAGATTTCTTCTAACACAGAAAGAAAAATTGCCTGCTTAAAATTATTTTAATCCTAAAATAAGCTTCAAATAATAGCTTCAAGGACTGGAGGTATAGCTCAGTGGTGGAGTACTTGCCTTGCTCTGGGTTCAATCCCCAGAACCCTTTTAAAAAAAGCAAAACCCAAAAGATAATGGCTTCAAAAGACTGGGCAGATTTCATGTTGTTTACAATAAAAAGGAAAAAAAAAACCCTGCTGACCAGAAGATCAAAGACTACAATGTTGTCAGCAAAAAACCTAAAATAGGGCAGGCACCACATGGAAATGGAATGATACAGGTTCACCTATTCTAGATACAGATTTTGCCTTTATGATCTCAAAACTATGCCCTGCAGGTAAACATCAGCCAATTTCTCCTCAAATACTTCAGTGAAATTTTGAAGTTTATTTCAGCTCTTAAAACACAATGCTATGCACTAAGGTCTAAATTGAACGATTTAGAAAGTATTATTCTTATCATTCATGTTATGATTTGCCAACCTTGAAGTTAATTTTTAAAATCTTATCTTTTTCTTCTTTAAATGAGTGCTTAAATATTTATTAGATGATGATTAATAATTTTAGTGAAGCTTTAATTAGTTTAGTGAAGCATTTTTCATAGGGAATAATCAAGTTAGGGTCTCCAAAACTGCCTACAAGAACCTAAGCAAATAGGGAATGAACTAGCTTAGCAGAACCAGAGATTTCATGATCCACCCGAGACATTAAAAAATTAACTAGAAACCAAAAACATGATGTGGGCTACCCAACACTTCTGTGTGGGCTGGATAATGGGTCACAAATTTGAAACTCCTAAACGAAAGCCTGGAACTATAATCTGAAGCTTTTTTCCAAATACAGTCGATTCCTGTTACAAAGAGTCTAGATAATAGATTCTTTATAGATTTAAATTAGTACAAATTTGCTCACATATTGGCAATACCACTTACCTGGAGATTTGTCACATATCAAAATGTCCTGGGTAGAAGTTAATTATAACATGTAAGTATGGCTTGTTTTACTTATAAAACGATACGTAAGTGTTTTAACTACATAAAAATGAAATACTACTAAAGTGGCATTTTACCTGCTTAAGAAATCGGTTAGATGCGTTGCTGTGTTTGGCTAACACACTTGGCAGAGCAGGATTAGCATACTCAAACTGTGGATTGTAGGTATAGTCAGACTTGAAGAATCTCAGTTTCTCTTTCTCTAAGTTGGTAGGCTTTATAGCAGTCAATATGCAAAATTTTTTTCCAGAAAACTCATCTGCTTTTTCAAAGCTTCTACAGAACTGAGGCTGCTGCTTTGGCTTTGGAAGAGCGGAGAAATGGCGTCGCCTGACCTTGCTTTTTGGTTTAGGTGGCAGTATTATGCTGTTCCCTGTAACAGAGATATCATGTGTAAACTTTACAGGACTTGACACTGACTTAGTGACAAAAACAGTAGGCTGCCTCTCCAGGCAGTACCAAGTACCACTGCTTGCCACAGGCACTGGGGTTTTCGTCCTGCAAGGATCTTTACTATGAGGGGAGCTAGGAGATTTGCTGGGTTTTCTACATCTTTTGGAGTAGGTGGATGAAGACTGTTTTTGTAAATGATGTTTTCTCTCCTCCTTGCTTTGTAGTAGGACATTGTAACTACTGGTTCCAGTTGTGAAAATGTCCTTTAGTATTCCAGCAGGTAAATGTGAAAGGCTTCTTTTGCTGTCAATGATCAATGAATCTTCTGCATTTAGAATAGACTTCTTGGCGAGTTCTTGCTCAGGCCAGTGAAGCTTTTCTGTGTTAATAAACAAAACCAAAAAAGAAATAACAAAGATGCCAGATGAAGCAAATTGAATATTATACAAAAAGTCTTCTGAAAGTTCTGTAAACCTTATGTTTTACAATAATCTTTAGAAAAGATATTTTAAATAATAAGAATATATATTATAAACACTGTCACTTCTCTTTCCTTAGTGTATATATGTTAAATTATCCATAAAAATCCTCAGTTTCAAACCATTGAGATGACCAAGGTCAAATATAGCTGTGAGATAATACACATAAATAATCTGCATTCTCTACCAAAGAATGTGAGTTTTATAGAAAGGATGTAGTATTATTAATATCAAAGTAAACTCCAAGGTGCTTTCAAAGTTAATTTAGTCTTGAAATTTGGAACTATATATAAAAGTAGCCATCTACAGATGGACAACATGCCTTATTTACCTTGAAAAAAATAAGATTAAAGGGATGATATGTCTATCTTCAAGCATGTTTTAATAATGTTCAACATTAATAATTGGTTAATTTTCTTAATAATTCTAAACTGTAGCTTAAGGTTTTTTAGCAAATTTAAAAAACAATTACTATTCAAAGGGTTTCAGTGTATTCAGTTGCAAATTAACTTAAAGGGGGCAGCTTTGTCTTTAAATCTCACAAGCACTTTAAATAGATAAGGATTATTTATATACTGATGCTCATGCACTGATATAAAACTGTGTTTATGTGTATTCTTTCATTCAACAAATTTATAAAACTCTACTAACTGGCACATGGTGTAGGGAACCCCCTTTCTCCATAGAAAAGTCTTAACTGGGCTTCTCCAGAAATCTTCACCATGGCTGATTTTAGGACTGTCGGCAAAAGAGTCTCTACAAAAGAGTTCAATGTAGATAAACTTCCAATTTTCGTGTTGCCCTGTTTTACTTGGCCACTGGCCGGGAAGAAATCCGCACTCCAGGTGCTGGACACCCCCTTACTAGTTTTTCACAAACATGTATCCATTATAGTAGTTTGTAGAAATATGTAAACAAGGCCTCCGGCCCTGAGTTGGGGCTTCACAGAGATGTCTACATTTCTAACATAAGAAAAGTTACCAATTGGGCTCCATGGTAACAGCTGGCAGGGAGAGGAAAGAAAGGGGAGAAGGTGGTCTTCCCTTCTCAGGTGCTGTCCTTGAAGAGTTAACTTGCCCAGAACACTGAAAGAAAAAAACTGCTTTTAAGTTAACTTCTGCAGACTGTGAATTTCTGAGCCCCTCCCCTTACATGCTGGGTATAAAATCTGAAACTACCTGAACTTGGAGTTCAGGGGATTGATTAATTACAGCAAAAGCTGTACCCTCTGAACCTGGCTGCAGCCAAATAAAACTGTTTCCTGCTGTCCTCGGTGCCTTGCTTTGTCTGTCTCCACAACAATGGTTCTGGATAATTGGCATGTCCATATAAATACATTGTTCCTGCCTACATGTGAGGCAAGTTCTCTACTACTGAAATATATCCTCAGTCCTTCCAGTCATCTTCTAATCTCTGAACACAAAGCACTCCTATAAAGTTTTGATTAATAATACAATGTAGTACATGATTAAAGGTGGGAAACAAGAGATAGCAACAATAATCCAGAATTCAAGAAGTAAAGAGAGCAATGTGAGAATAACCAGATTACGTTCAGGTAGGAACCTAACCTGATTCTTTTAGTCAGCTTTTTCACTGCTGTGACTAAAAGACCCGAAAAGAGCAATTTTTTAAAAAATATTTTTTAGTTGTAGTTGCACACAATACCTTTATTTATATGTGGTGCTGAGGATAAACCCAGGGCCTCGCACATGCTAGGCAAGCATTTTACCACTGAGCCACAACCCCAGCCCACTGACAAGAGCAATTTTAAGGGGAGAAAGTGTATTTGGAGGCTCACAGTTTCAGAGGTCTCAGTCCATAGACAACCAGCTCCATTCCGCCGGGCTCAAAGGAAGGCTGAACATCATGGTGGAAGAGTGTGGCAGATGGAAGTGGCTTACATGATGATCAGAATTCCACTTGCCAGATACAAAATATATATCCCAAAGGCAAAGGCAAAAGCATGCCCCAATGCCCACCTCCTCCAGCCATACTCTACCCACCTTCAGTTACCACTCATTCAGTTAATCCCTATCAGGGGATCAATTCACTAACTGGGTTAAGGCTCTCATAACCCAATCATTTCACCTCTGAACATTCCTACATTGTCTCACTCATGAGCTTTTTGGGGACACCTCACTCCAAACCATAACAGATTTGAAGGACTTTCAAACTCACTTCTAAACTCTTAAACCCAGCTCATCTGAAGAAGACTCCTGTGTTCAAGTCCTGTTAATAAGTGTTCACTAAATAAATAATTATATGACCCTAAGCATGCCACTCTCCAACATTCTGGATATAGAGGTAGATATTTATTGTTCTGGAACCATTCTATTTCTATGAGAAGAGCACTGCAAAAGTAGAAAGGTAGCAAGAAAGATCCTAATCCACTGGTTCTCAACTCAGGGTTACTCCCTATTAGGGAACATGTGGCAATGCCTAGAGACATTCTGGTTGTCATACTGGGAAGGGGCTACTGGCATCTTATGGATAGGGTTATATTAAAGGTGGATTGTGCAACAAGGTCAATCAAAAAACGTTAAAAGATTATATCTGCCAAACAAAACCAAAAACAGGACAAATAAAATTTTCACCACAAGACGGGAGATCCCAGTTTATTAGCAATTTCAGACTTAAGTATTGCTAACTGATAGTCAAAACTGGCAAGGCAAATAAGCTAAGGAACATCAGGACACAAGCTGTAGCCGAAATGCCCCAGAACAATGTCAGTTTCCCTAAAAGGGCACCACAAGTTTAGGAAACAAGAGATGATAATGAAAGGGATGGATACTGAAATGGACACCAAAAGAGAATGATGAGAACTCAGATAAGAATAAAGGTTATCAGAAGTCTAGAGAGGTAGGGTATGAATGTGGAGCAGCCAAAAAATTGAAAGGGAGGTAGTCAGGTTCTTTTCTTATCATCTCCATAATGAAATTAAAACCAATAAATAAAATTACTCTGAGGAAGTTCTATTCTGATGGTTCATTACTGATGTTGTGCTGATTTTTAAAAATAATTCACTATTAAAATTGTTTGGGGCTGGGGTTGTGGCTCAGTAGTAGAGCACTTGCCTCGCACGTGCAAGGCCCTAGGTTTGATCCTCAGTACCACATAAAAATAAATAAAATAAAAAGGTATTTTAAAAAAAAGAAAATTGTTTATTTGGTTCTGAAGACTTGGTAGCTTTATGACCAAAGACCTGATTTCATTGCGTACTTCTGTTTTGTCATAAAGTATCAGTAACCTCCAAATTCATAATTCTGTTCCACTTCAAGTAACCTTCATGTTTAAAATTAAAAAAAAAAAAAAAGTACTAAACTACCTGCCAAAACCCTGGAGGAAGGATGAGAGGGTGGTAGAGGGGTGCCTGACAGAACCACTCTCCCTAGGAATTGTGGCATTCAGTTCACTTGCTAATGATCTACTGAGAGGCTTAGCATCCATCCTTTGGAAGCCCCATCTGCTCCTGAGTAGTTTGAACGCCAGCATGAATTTATTTAACAAATGCCAATCCTGCCAAATGTTGGATATTCCATGAAGTTTGTAAAAGTGGGACACATGGTCCTTCATGTAACTCATACAAGACAGATATAATTTCTCAAAGTCACACTAATTGTTTTTCAGTTGTATTATTATCTAAAATACTGTTTTTATAATTTTAAATAGTACTTTTTATTTTGTGAAAAAAGACTTCCGAACATGCATAAAAAGATAATAAATGGCTTATTAATATTTCTGGTTGTCTACAAATTTATTAAGGAACTCCTTTTTCCTGAGAAAACTTTTTAAAGCCTAAAGCAGAATTCTTTGGAGGAAGTACAAGTCATTTTCCCCCCAAAAGTAATAAGAATAATTAAAAATCATAATATCTCATATTAAAGGTAGACATTATATACTTTAACACACAGAGCCATCAGCAATCTGGTTCATTAAAATCTTGGAGTGAATCATTTCTGATCAAAGAAAATCATTCATCCCAACTTGGTTTCCCACACTAAAAAAAAAGGGTAAATAATATTACTTTAAATTAATACTCAGTATTTTATATCCAGAAGTAAGTGGATACTGAAATTACCAACACAATGAAAGCTTAATATGTATCTAGAACAGGAGAAAAGGATACCAGAATTCCTGGCTTCCATTCCCAGCTATTTCAATGACCTATTTGTAATATTAGCCTATTCATTAAGCCGATCAGTGCCTCCTGTTCCTCATCTAGAAGAATAAGGGAGAAGGGGAACACTGCTCACTAAACTTCGTGTTTTACAACTCCAAATAGCTGAGGTTTCACAGTGATTATGAACTCCCTGTCTAAAAAGGTAGACCCAAAGCCCACTGGAAAAACACTAGTAAACAAATTCTGACCTGTAAAAACAATTTCTTTCAACCATGGCCTTGCACATGCTAAGCAGGCACTTCACCACTGAGCTACACACTCAACCTTAAAAGGCAATTTCATATGGTTCACTAATACTTAATGAAACCTGAGAACCTGGAATAAATTTTACACCATAAAACAATAGTTAATTTGATCACAAACAGAAGGGCTAAACAAAACTAAATAATCTCTGAATAAGATAAAACCCTTATTATATCAAGTATTTCTTTCTTTCTTTTTTTAGTTGTAGATGGACACAATACTTTTATTTATTTTCATGTGCTGCTAAGGATCGAACCCAGTGCCCCACACTTTCGAGGCCAGCGCTCCACCACTGAGCCACATTCCCAGCCCCTAATTTTATCAAGTATTTCATCACTTAAACTCAAATAATCTATTAACTATTAAAGTAGATGCCAGGGATGGAGGTGCATGCCTATAATCCCAGCAAGTCTGGAGGCTAAAGCAGGAGGATCACAACTTCAAAGCCAGTCTCAGCAATTTAGTGAGGCCCTAATC